CTGAACCTCCACATCAGAGCCAGTGAATAATAATGGGTTCATTTTATTGGATCAAAGCTGTGCAAATTCTGCATGAAATGACTGACATTTGCAGTATGTAAATCGGCTAATGCGGTGACCCCAATAAAAAGGATGAGCTATTGAGATGTTACAAAGACCAGGGAACTGATCCAAAGAACACACCCTTAGCTAAATCCACCCATCATCCTTTAGGGTAGAGGGAAATTCCTTCAGGTACAGCATGTTACAGCTAGTGAAACAGCGTCATCTCTCACTTGAGGACCTATAATAGCATAGTTTTTTCTCAAGCAGTAGTGATGCGCAGGTCAGGGTTTTTTAATACCCGCACCCACCTGACTCGTTATGAGAGCCAATTCGCACCACCCGCCCCGCAAAAATATGCGTTAATCGACCACCCGAACCCGACCCGACCCGCAAACTGCCAACTTTAGCCTGTATAGCGATGGCATCCATATCATAGAGTAAGAGATAACGTTTTCTTATTTAGTGCACGTTTCAAAAAGGACAGACACTCATGTAGGCAACAAGGTTTTACATGAGCCACCGCAGGCTACAGCAAAGTGAGCAGTGTTGCACTATTTCGTTTTTGGGCTGTTTGCCCAAAGGTTAGCATAATACATTGATCGCAAGGCATAGCCTATTGTATCTTAGCCTACTAGCGTCTGGGTCTAGGCTACTAAATAAACAGACACATTGTTCCAAACTGTGTTCTTTATTGTTGAATAGCAGCAAAACAAGTAACCCTTCATTAAAGACATGAACTCTCTCTCTCACACACACAAACGATGCATCCTTCACATCTTAACGGTGAACTTTAACATTTCTCTTAAATAAGGCCATGATTGGGGAATGTCTTGCTGCTCTGAATCTGCTCCATCGGCAATGTTGTCAGGTTCACTTTCATCCATGTCGCTACTAGTTCTCCCTGTCACGGACATCACATTCAATAGACGCCTTTTCTCCACGGTCGAGTCTCCCTTTCTTGTCTGTTTCGCCTTGTTACTAGTGATGTGCAGTTCGTGAACGAACGAATCCTTTTGAACGAATCTTTGAGGTGAACTGAGTGTATTGAATCCCTAGTCTAAAATATTTGTTCCTTTCTCTTTGCAAACATGCGTGCTGATTAGCTGGCATAGCAGCTATAACTCTCCCTCCAGTGGATATTAGATATGCGGTCTGTCCACGAAGCAGCCTATCACAAAACTGTATCAGCAGTACGTTCATGACAACAACTAGCCAATGGCTGAAATGCTAAAACTCTCGAAGCACCTCCCACTGGCCATCTCGGCACAGCTGATGATGGACAATGCAGAAGACTACAAAGACTCTAATCTCCACCTACTGACCTGATGAACTGTTGACAAGTTCCTCAGTTCACCAGTTCCTTCAGACTCAAAGGAACTGTGAGTCTTCAGTTCATCAGTTCGTTCGGACTCAAAGGAACTGTGAGTCCTCAGTTCACCAGTTCGTTCGGACTCCAAAGATGCACTGACTATGAAGACTTGGTGACTACGTGTTGCCAGAATCGCTAGTTCTCAGTGTAACAGGCTTGGGCTACATCCGCCATTGACTGTGACGATACAAAAGGAATCAGAGCGCTTTTGTGACATTATTATAGGAATTAAACATATTATTAAATATTATTTTGCTCATCTACCTGAAATATTATGTTATATTTATGTTTTTAGCAGTAGCATATTTTAGGTGCGCACAATGGATCACAGTTCTTGTTTATCACAACTGCAATTTTACATAGGCTACGATGTATTTAATGTTGACATCACAATTCCTTTTAACGTCAATAAAGTCCTTATTAATAAATACTGACAAATCAACATAGTAGGCTACAAAACAAAACAGAAATGTGATGCACAAGCCTATGCATCACATTTGTAGCATACTATGTCTACATTAACAACAAATAAAAATATGACATCACTGACTAGGCCTACAAGTATATTAAAATGTTTGGGATGGGTTAGTTCAAAACTTGTAAAACGAAGTTATTCGCTTCGGATATAAGCGTGGTTTGAATAGCATGGTGCAGTTTCACGTAATGAATATTACGATTTAATTATTATTAATTTCATTGACATTTGGTTTCACACGTGCTGTTTTGCCGCAGAGCAGGCTAATAATGGACATGATGTTTGGAACAATGTAGAGTAACTTTTAAAATGCAATAAAACTATTTACCGATTCGTGTATGCTGCCCGACCGGATATGGAAATGAACGAATCAGTGAGTCAAAGATTCGAATCATTTTATTGAACTGAACAAACGGAACCGAATCACTAAAAAGAATCGTTTTGAACACCACTACTTGTTACGTCTTTACGTCGTTTTCGTTGTTACATCTGTCGTGCGTGATATGCACCGATGGATACACCAAGGGATCGTCTTTTCTATGTGTTATTGTCCCATCCATTTATGTTAAAATCGGTCTTGATGTTGGGAAGGCGCGCAATGATGCAAAATAAAAATAATCGATAATTCCCCTCAAATGCATTAAAACTAAAGTAACGAGCCTGTTTTGAAAATGTAAGGAGTAGAAAATACAGATATTTGTGTTAAAATGTAGGGGGTAAAAGGAAAAAGTTGTCAGAAAAATAAATACTCAAGTGAAGCACAGATACCTGAGAACTCTACTTCAGTACAGTAACGAAGTAGGCTATTTGTACTTCGTTACTTCCCACCTCTGCTTTATAGTTCGGTAATGCAGATTATTGACAGCCAGTGCATAAGAGGACCTGCACCCTCCGGTGCGTGTGTGTGTGTGTGTGTGTGTGTTTGAGAGAGAAAGAGACAGAGAGAGACGAAGAGAAGGTGGAAGGTGGACTAGTAATCGCAGCCTAGCCCGGAGCACGCTATTCGGAGAGCCTAACTATTGCACACAATGTTTCTGTAAGTTATTTATAACTTAGTCGGAACGCTGCTTTGTCACTTTTTGACCCGACCTGCCTGAACCCGTGATATTTTCTAGTAAGCTTACCCGAACCCGCCCGACCCGCGGGTCAACCCACGGGACCCGCAGGTTATGGGTCGACCCACGCATCACTATCAAGCAGGAAACAACATGAAAGTGCAAGATTGTCACAGATGATGAGGAGCTGGGCTGGGGGGTTTCTCCATGGGCATTCTGTGCACCCCTGCCCTCCAGTTAGTTGAGTAACTGGTTTTGGCTCCAGGTGTGACTGAGGAAATGCAATCTCACAGCAGCTCCCACATCCGTTCCCTTCCGTCATTTCTGGGACTTGCATCATTGATGGGCATCATCATCTTCATTATCTAGCCTCTCCATCTAGCACTCACCCTCTCTAGCAGGGAGGAATAAATAAATACATAAATAAATAAATACTCCAGGCTTTGCGTAGGAGGCCAGGCCCCTGGGCCAGCAGGGCGGTGACGCACAGGGACACATGGCGCGGGCAGACAGACACTGCTCTTCCTGTGAGATGCATCTGCTACACCCCCACCCGGGTCCTCCCCCCTGGGCAAGGTCAGGGTAGAGAGCTGCCTTTTGTGAGGGAAACCGGGGGGGGGGACCCTACTACCTTGTCAGGCTCTCTTCTCCTTTCTGGGAGGTCATTTCCCCACCCCTTAATTCCTGCTCTTCTCCTCCCGTCCCCATAGATGCGCAGAGGTCATTGGTCAGTCATATTTGGTCTCCTGGTAGCTCCTCAGGCTCACTCTATAAATGCTTGCATCCGTGTGCTTTGACTTCCGTGTCCCAGCATGCTTGAACTCCTGCCCAGTCAGGGCTATTTGCGGGTGTAGCCGGGGTAAGGAGGGGGTGGAGAGTAGTTGGCAGTCCTGGGTGGGGTAGGGGTATATGGAGGTGGAAGGATATCATGGGGATTCATCTCGTAGTCATAGTTATAAGGTGGGGGAGGTCCTAGAAGGAGAGATCAATTAAAACCATCATTTAAACCACTGAGCTATGAAGGAAATAAGTGGAATTAAATTTGAGCCATGCAAAGGCAATGCTTTACCTGTCCCCCAATACATTACACAATGCATTCCATTTATCAGGTCCTGATATAACAATTAACTGCATTCAGTGATCAAAAACACTGCGAAATAATCATTCAAATAATAATACCATTTAAATTCTCTTCTTGAAAGAATCAAGTTCACTTACAGGATTCATTTTGGTTTCAATCACATAATGCAATTACTGAAGAGTGTAATGGTGCAAAATAACCTAAAAAGAAGCTACTTTCAAATGATTTAAAATGTGAATCTTGTATCTGATATTAATCACTGTAGCAACTACCATGTAGAATATTTCAAGCACCTGGTTAATGGTCAACATAGCAGAAATAAGAAAATGTTGCCTCCTGTCAAAGGAAAAAAATCAAGCATCTTGAGTCTTAGGACAGGGAGAACAGGAAGAGTTACTACACTACAGCATTGTAGACTACACAGAGTCAAATATCATGGAGGTGCAACAAAAGTAATATAAGTCAAACTGTTATTTTATGTTTCCAAGAATTTATTTAAGGAATCTGGCTCTGGTATGGCATCATAGCCAATATGTAGCCCTAGAAATTGCACCATGACTTTCATAATTAAGGAGAGGCATATATTTATTTTATTCAACTAAGGGGTTTATATAAACACTTTTAAGGAAAAGTAGTAGATGGGCCCCAATGTTCTGGGATGATGATTTGAATACAGACACACAGACACTGTAGGAGGATTATGCATACAAGGCGGGTAACAACAACGGGCTTTCAAGACGGCACCACTAAGGTGACACGGACATGATTGAGTTAACATATGGAGGGGAAACCGATCAGCTTCTTTTACACCTAGGACTAGGAGATACATACATACTTTTGTATTTAGCAGATGCTCTTATCCAGAGCGACTTACATCAAGTACAGGTTTTTACAATGTTATCCATTTAGACAGCTGGGTATTTACTGAGGCAGTTGTGGGTTAAGTACCTTGTACCTAAGTACCTAAGGGTACAGCAGCAGTGCCCCCGTGGGGAATCGAACCGGCAACCTTACGATTACAAGTCCTGCTCCTTAACCACTATGCTACACTACCACCCATCCTATCAGACTGACATCCTAATTCCAAATTTCCCTGCCCGGGGAATCTTATCTTATCTTATCCTGTCAGTCCCATCTCAAGCCCAGCCCAACTCCAGGAAATTACCCATTTTGAATACAAATTCACATACACACCTTCACACAAAATTTCTTTGATGGGGAGGGTCTTATAGAGTATAAAGAGAGGTCATGATTTCTGTGTTCTAGGTATTTGATCCACCCTGTGATACCCAGTATATGCCTACACTGTGAGCTATACTACTTTTGCTTTGCAATAAAACATTGTTTTGTCAGAACCACCTTTTTGTCTTGCAAGTTAGAATTCTTACACACTGTACATGGAAATGTTTTTTTCCACGTTTGTTAGCCAAGGACATTTATCAGTTAAAAAGGAGGAAAAACCTTGCATAAAACATAAATGCACATTTTATGCATCTATTTCTTGTTCTGCTTAAGAATCAACCCCTCATATGAATCAAATAGATTCTAAAGGGTTAAACAGCCATCTAGCTAGCTAATGTATACCTAGCTTGTTACCTACCTATCTCCTCATTCACATAGCTAATTAGCCACGAGTACAATGCTGGCCTTACACCAAATGACTTTCAATTGATTTCACTGTCGCAGACAAATTTCCAAAGTCGGAATAAAATCATGAGAGTTTTGCTAGAGTTGCGGCGTGCTCCCGAGATCTCAATCGTTTGGTGTAAGGTGGTAATTCGAGCTGTTTTAAGTGAGTCTTTTTCTCGTCTTGACGTTACGATAAAATCAACCGTGTTTAATATTATTGCAGTTTTTAGTCTTGGCTGATGCAAATAGTGACGTAGTATTGTCAACAACCAATAGGTGAGCTCTCTCAGCAAGAAAACAAGAAACAGCAAAGCGGATACTCTGTGACTAATGACACATTGTCTTTAGATGTGAGAGGGTGTCAGACTTTAGTCTTTTAAAAGCCTTTTCAGAGTCTTGTCAAAGTCCTCTAGTGTATGGTCAACATAAGTGTTTACCTTATGTTTGTCACTGAGCTTACTCATGAAATTATGTTTCAACACCCTGCAGCTTGAGCTAGCCAGCAAGCCATAACTGCTAAATAAACTTTTGCTAATGCAGGATTGTTAATGTATTACATAGCATTACAACTATTAAACTCAAAGTGCTGAGAAAATACTGTCACGTGCAGCCCAGCTAATTTTTGGAACATTTCTGTTTAAATGTTATATCTTTACTTTGATAATACTTAAACCGAATACTTGCAATTCAGGGCAAACTGAGACTCTAAAAGCTACAAAAGAAACACACTGAAGTACCGTGCAGTGCACGCAGACTTTTTTTTGCAATATTGAGTTCAGAAGATGAAGAGTGTCACATAGTGGTCATGCTGACACACTGCAGGTGCTCCTCATTTCTGCAGTACAACTTCCAACATTACAGCAACTAAGCCCGCCGATGTCACAACTGTCAGTGACCAGGATTTTGTGGTCTTTTTTAACTAACATTTGGGTGGAGCGCTCAAAGAGTGGGAGGGTCCATACCTGGGTATCCATGGGAAACGGTGTTAATGTGAGAGGCTCTGAAGACCCCCACCCGTGCACCCCGCCCATTCTTCACACACATGCAGACGCACAGGAAAATGGCGGCCACAGCCCCCATTAGGAACACCACGCCGAAGACTATCCCCGAAATTGCTGTGCCCCTGGGAAAGAATCACACCAGTATCCAAATTAAAAATAAGCACAAATAGAAATTTTCTCACAAGTACATATCCACACAATTCCAGATCCCAGAGATGAACCCTCCACACATGCAAGCATGCCAAAATTTATTTTGTGCCACCTCCAATTCCACACATGGATGTGTTGTTTTTATGAAAATGGGAATAAACATAGTGCATTTCCTGTACTCATCAGTCACCCCTCCCAGCCATTTTCTCTGAGTGACAAACATAGTTAATGCATTAATGTGGGAGATATGCTATTACTTATATAGATATGCAATTACTAGATCAGTCAAAATGTCCCACAATAATGTCCTTGATAGATGAATACAGGGAATCTGCTGTTCTAGAACCACGAATCAATTCAACTTATATCACACATTTTGTTCCTGAAGATTGTTCCTGTCCAAAATGGCTGCCCAGTTCCCATAACCACGCATTTCAGCAGAGCATCCAACATAGTAATTCTGTATCTATGGAAAAGTACAGAGCAGCTGAGTCAACATAGCCCTTTCCCTCTAGAACAGGGACAGCCTGCAGGGAGGGTCGCGCCCTGACACTGGGAACTCCAGAGGTTCCCGGGGACCGGAAATAGCTGGTGTTTACAGACACCTGACCAAACACAGCGCATGTATCCACAACACCCACAGAGAACTGTCCAAATCTTAATCTTTCTAACGCAGGGCACTGTGTGCATGTGAGAGAGGGAAGGTGTGTGTGTATGTATGTGCTCTCTGCTCTCTGACAGAGAGGAGCACACACAGGTCCATTTGCAGGATCAGGCACATCCATTAGCACCCATACCCTGGTCCTGTGGTGGGCACAGCGTGAGAATGCCATCGCTGATGGCATTTTCTGCCCACTGCTGTGCTTTCCTAAGCATGCCAGTGTAAACCTGTGTGGGCTGAACTGGAATGGGGCCCAGGCACAACGCAAATCTCCACACAAATCCTGACAAGAGACAATGCTTAGCTTGGTGAGGTCTTGAACAGAGAGACAACTATACTCTTGGTCAAACTGTAGGGGCATGACTTCACCTTCCACACGAGTCACACGCTCTCCAGACCTCTGCTAAATCGCCAGTCTTGTTCTGTTCTGTTTTTGAGTCAGTGCCCCTTGTCTGTTTGCGCTGGACCCTTGGTAAATATTTTGGCAACCTCTCTACTGGGACTCCTTACCCATGTTTTTGGACCGCATTGTAGTGAGATAGGAAAGCTGGAGGACAGCTGTCTCTGGGAGAGGGACAAAGGTCAAGTGCCCACAGGAAAATGTCACAGAGTGGAGCGGAGGGGGATTGGGGGTACTCACGAGAGAACGTCCCCGACATAGGCATAGTAGGAACAGCAGAAAGGGGGCTCCCCATCACAGCAGTACTCTACACAGTCATCACAATCGGCTGCGCCAAGTCCTACAAGAGAGACAACATTTAAAAAGGACACAAGTGCAATATGCAACACACACCCTGCCAAAAAGATTTTCCACAATCACTCACAACAGCAATTTGGACCTCTTTGGGGAGGAGGGGGGGGTCTAGTCCACAGTAAGTAATATGGGAACTATTCCTGTGAGGCCCAGCTGAAGACTTGCAGTGGGGGACAACAAACTCCATATCATCCTGGTTTTACTCCATCACCACACTCTCAGAGCACAGCTGTCTGTGTGTGGTGTATGTGTATGTGTTCTGCTCCATAGGTGTTCTGTGTTTTGTATCCAAAACCTAATTTTCTATTATGAGGAAAAAACATTTAGCAGAGTCAGGGGAAAAAAAAGACACTCGTTACTGATCAGCTCATATGTATTTCTCATTCTTTAAATCATTCCTAAAGGCAGACATGCACTCAGTTCTCCAGGATGAAGTCTTTTTTCTGTCTGTTTCACTCTCTCTCTCTCTCTCTCTCTCTCTCTCACTCACTCACTCACACACACACACACACACACACACACACACACACACACACACACACAGACACACACACAAACCAGTCCTATGGCTCCCCCTTCTTTTTTTGGAGCGATAGAGGTTTTAAACACTGATCTCCATTCCAGAGTGAAGACACTAAGGAGCCAGCTTGTGAGTGAAGACACTAAGGAGCCAGCCTGTGGCGCCTGCTTTCCTGTTTGTGAGTGCGTGCGTTTGATGTGTTTTCCCCAACCCCCTGTCCCTCCCGCTACTTCTCTCTGGGTGGTCTCGACAGTTTTTGCATTACAAGCCCTCTCACCTTCGGCTACGGGAGAACGTCAAAGCGGTTGAAAACCCCCCACACCAGCGTCACTCCGATGTCACTGCCTAGTGGATTTAGACGCTTCGTTTTTTAGATTAAAAGAAGAATACGTGCGTTTAATGAGGAACCATGTGAATCACCAACGAACAACGAACTCACTTCACAGACACGTTCTCTGGGTTACTTCGTCTCTGGGCATTAACAGCCTCCTGTGACGGGGTATACTGCTTTTTCTAGTTTGATGAGTGTACACAATAGAGCGTTTGTGAATGGGAAGCAGATGGATCAGCTTTAAAAGCTAGTTCCAATTCTCTTTGTAACACGTTTCAAATAATGCGTTTTTAGGCCACTGTGTCAACCAGTGCGCGATGTGGGAGAATTAAAAAAAAAAAAAGTTAAAATCGAAATACACCAGTATCTAATAGCTAAACTTTTATACTGTGAAGGTCTAAGGGAATATACTTGCCCACATTGTTTTGGCAGCAATTTACAATACATCGTGCCAGGTTACAGAGCCTACACTAAATAAATTATGGACATATTATCGTATTCACAGTGTGTATTAACCGTATCTGTCAAATATGGGGGAAAACGCCAGCAATACGATGTTTAAAAGTACAGGTATAGATGACATATAGGGTAACACAACTAAAGGATTTCTTACCGGCAAAGAGGCAAATTAGCAACGAGTCGACCAAGAACGCCCGCCCGGGCTTAAAGCTCCTTGTCCCCGGTCTCCCTGTATCGCCTCCCCGCATTTTCTCACTGCGTTTTTACTTTACCAAGACTCCCAACCCCCGGAATTCCACCAGTATTTACTGCTCAGGGAAACGCATTTAACATTCCCGTTCATCAGTTATTCGGGAGACAAAGTTACTTAACTTTTTAAATTAAAACAAAACAAAAACGTTCTTTCGTAGTAAAAGACCCAGACCGTCACGAATAAATGTCAGCTTTGCATACAAAATAATTTAACCCTCCAGTTCCAGAGTCACCCTCGTCTGTCTCCACGTGTTCCGGACCCCAAGAAGTGTTTCTCTCACTCCCTCCTCTTTGTTT